GTGGGGCGCATGTGGGGGCCATGCCAGGCTGGGGTGGCGAAGAGGGCTGTCGTGCGGTGGCGGGCGGTTGCTTGGGAGCGCGTGTTTGCTGGCTCGCCGCGCCGACCAGCGCCCCGTTCGGCTTGCCCCCCCGCCTCCGCCCCTCAGGTGCACGGCGACTACAGCGCCGAGGCCGCCGCCGCTGCCGCCGCGTCTGAGAAGATTGAGCGGCCCGCGGAGGAGGTTGTGGGCCTTGCGCCCGAGGAGGCGGCCGCCTGAGCAGCCCACCCGCCGCGGCGCACGGCGCGGGGCTCTGGGAGAGCCCGGGCCGGCGCGCAGCGGCAGCAGCAGCTGGGGATGATGGCTGATCCCATGGGATGAGCGGCGCCCGGCGCCTCCTTGCTCGGGGGGGCCGGGCTCGTCGCCAGTTAGCCGTGCCAGCGGCGGGCGCGGGCGGTGCCGCCCGCCGCGGCACCCGGCGGCAGGCAGCCTGGGCCGCCGGGCGCGCAGAACCTGCATGCATGCGTCCCGCGCTGCGTGTAACACAGCTGAAACACCTGGCAGGCGCAGGCGGGGCAGAGCAGAGCGACGGGAAGTGCAAAGCAGCGGCGGCCGCGCACTCTGCGCTGTGGCGGCGCGGCTGCACATGCCTGGTCCGCTCCTCGCTGCATGCAGTCTGCACCCTGAGGTTCTGCGATCGCGCCAGGAGCAGGAGGATGTCGGGCCTGCGCTCTTTTCTGCACAGCACCTACAAGAGCGCCGCGGAGGCCGTGCTGCCTGCCCGATCGCAGTCGGCATTCAAGGAGAAGGGGGTGAGGACCTGGAGGGCACGGGCTGGGCCCAGTTGCGCAGCAGCGGAGCCAGTCCTCCCGCCGACACCGTTTTCAGCTGCCCTCCACCACGCCCCGCCGCGCTCCCGGCCGCAGGTGCTGACCCCCGAGGAGTTCGTGGCCGCGGGGGATTACCTGGTCCACACATGCCCCACTTGGAGCTGGGAGGCGGGCGACGCCAAGAAGGCCCGCCCCTTCCTGCCGCCCACCAAGCAGTTCCTCATCACCCGCAACGGTGGGTGCCTTGCAGCGGGGTTAAGGTGCACTTGGACAATGCTGCTGCTGGTTCTGGCAAGGCTTTCCATGCAGCCTGGGTCAGGCAGGGTCTAGCGATGAGAGTTTCCCGCCGCCGCCAATGCCGCCCCGCTGCTGCCGCCCCGTGGCGGCGGGAAGGCGCCCTGTGCAGCCAGCCTGTCACCCTGAGGCCCTGGGACGGCTTTCCAGCGCATGCACGGCTGCCTGCCTGCCCTTCCCAACCTGCCCGTGTCCCCTGCGGGGTTGGGTGCAGTGCCCTGCCTGCGTCGCGCGGCGGCGGTGGAGGAGTATGGCGAGAAGGAGGAGCAGGAGGTGGAGGCGGATGAGGAGGGCGAGGGCTGGCTGACGGCGGACCAGAGCTCGGCGGGCCGCGCCGCGGCGGGCACCACCACCACCAACGCAGAGGGCTTTGAGGAGATTCCCGACGTCGAGGAGGAGGCGGGAGGAGGGGAGGGCGGCGGCGTGGCGGATGCGGCGGCGGCCAGCGCCAGCGATGGGGGGGCGGCGGGGCCAGGGGGAGACGAGGATGTGCCTGACATTGATGACCTGGATTTGGAGGATGAGGAGGAAGAGGACGAGGTGGGTGCGCCCGGGACTGGGGGAGAGGGAGAGGCACTGATGTGGAGGAGTGTCGGTCGCTCGCCGGCGCCCTCCCTGCCTGCCCAGCCAGCCGGCTGTGGCGTGCGTGCCTGTGCCTGCGCTGTATGGGGCCCCGGCGGAGCAGCGGTTAAAATCTGCCCGCCCGCCTGCCCCTGCAGGCGGCGCTGCGGCCGGCGCCCACAGCCGGCGGCGGCGGCGGCGAGGAGCACATTGTGCGCACCCGCACCTACGATCTGCTCATCACGTACGACAAGTACTACCAGGTTGGTGGTACCGCATGAAGGGTACCAGAGGGGGAAAAGTACCATGTGGTACCGCCCTAGGTGCCTGCACATTGCTCTGCTCGTTCACCTTCCTGTGGGGTGCCTCGGCCTTGCCTGATTGGGACAGGAAGCCCGTGCGGCTGCGCCTGGGCTGTGCCTGCTTCACAAATCGTGTGCCGCCCCGCTGGCCCCCTGCAGGTGCCTCGCTTCTGGCTGATCGGATACGACGAGGACCGGCAGCCGCTGACGCCAGGGCAGGTGGGCGGGCGGCTGGCGTGTAATCGCGCGGTGGCGCAGCGGTGTGCTGCGGCCCATGGATCGACGATGAGATGGTGGTGGTGCGATCTGGGCTGCGTGGCAGCACGCCACGCCCCCATGCCTGGCGCAGTGGTTTCTGCTGCCATGCCGTGCATGGCTGGGCTCACCAAGCCGCTCCTGGCTGCTGCTGGGGGGCAGGTGCTGGAGGATGTGTCTGAGGAGCACGCCCGCAAGACGGTCACAATGGAGCCGCACCCTCACGGCGGCGTCACCGGCGGCGTGCAGGTGGGGAGAGCCGCATGTGCCGCTGCGCTGTGTGCGTGGCCCAGGGCGCGCACGCATGCGGGCACCTATTGGCAGCAGTGCTGCGGAGCGCTGGAGGCTCGGCGGTGGCCCCTTCTCGCGGGCGACCACGCAACATGCCCTGCCGCGCCTGCCCCTCGCCCTCACCGCCGCGCCGTGCCGCGCCGCTCGCTGCCGGGCCCGCAGGCCGCCTCCATCCACCCCTGCCAGCACGCCAACGTGATGCACAAGCTGGCGGAGCGGGTGGCGGGGGAGGAGGGGGAGTTCAGCGCGGAGCGGTGAGGGCTGGCAGCGGCCGGCGGGCCGTGCGTGTGTAGCAGTGGCTGCGGCGCGCTGGGCTGGGTGGCTGGGTGGCTGCGTGCGTGCCCCGGCGCCGCCGCTCCCTCCCCGGCGTGTCCCACTCACGCTCTGCTGCCCCGTGCCGCCGCGCCGCTCCCTCCCGCCCACCGCCTCCCCCCCGCAGCTACCTGGTGCTCTTCCTCAAGTTCATCGCCTCTGTGGTGCCCACCATCGAGTATGACTACACCATGGCTGCGGGAGGGGGTGCGTAGGCACTAGTAGGGGGCACACACACACACATATGTCGCACACACGCTCCACAGGAGGCAGCCCACCCCGCCAGCAGCAGTAGCAGCGAGGGGAGGAGGCGGAGGTGCCCACCCGGGCAGCCTAGCCCGCCGGCGGGAGCGGCAGAGAGGCGGCAGGGCTGGGGCGAGCGGCTCGGCGGCGGCGCGGCGGGAGCTGGTGCTGCCGCCAGAGCTCCCGTCCGTGTTGTACACTATATCTGTAGCATAGTGCATTTCTGTATTTTGGCTGCCGACTCGCCACGGCATTGTGATAGTGCAGTTCATCAACAAACACAGGCGACTGCCGTGTCGGTGACGGCGCGGTACAGCTGCAGGGATGTGGTCATGCAGGCTCACCCAGAATAAATGCCGCGCCCGTCGCCGGCCCTGCTTATGCTGCTTTCAAAGCCTATTTCAAACCCTGTTCCACAAGGCTGCAACTCCCACAAGGCTGCGTTCCGGAAGTTGGTGAAGCGCGACCCCGAAGGAAACCCAAGCCTACATCCTTGATACGAGCTCCCTGTGGCTACCGAACACGCATATTGCTTGCGGCAAGCGGTCCGACACCAGCTCGCCCGCGCTCTCCGAGCTCACGCTGCGTCCACAACTCCATGGCGGTCCCAGCAGTGCTTTTCGTTTTGGTTCTAATCTCCCTTGCTACTGCCGATGCGGCCGGCAGCGGCCGGCGGCCAGGGGACGGCTCCCGCCGCGGTTTGGTCGGGGACGGCGGCGCCGGCGGGGCCTCGCCGTCGCGCAGGCTGCTGGGAGGTGGTTTGAATGACACTGCCACCGCTGCTGGAGCTGTAATATTGGAGACACCCTGCCCCTCAAGTAAGTGCCAGAAGTTTCGCTCCGCTTGCCCAAACCAGGCGCCTCGCAGTCCTCGCCGACTCGCCGCACCTCCTGCCTTCGTCTTCCAGGCCAGGTGTGGTGCCCTGCCCTGAGCAGGTGTGTGTACGTGGATGCCTACCCGGAAGAGGACTGCTGCACCTTGTGCGGGGATGAGTGGAAGGGACTGGTGTGTGGAAAGGACCACACGTGCGTCTGCAAGCCGGGTAAGCCCGCCAGCAGCATGTCCCACTTCCCACCCGGCAGGCGCTCCTGGATTTGGGCAGTTCGTCCATTCACTATCAATAATGGCCATCTCAGCTCGAGCTTTGGTGGCTACAAGCATGCGATCCCCCTTGCTATGTGCAGGCTACACCCCTGCTGTTGCTTACGGGGGACGGAAGTCGTGCCTGAGGGACGGGACCCTGGGCGACCTCGAGGAGTGCGCGGCCAGCAGGCAATGCCGCAGCGGCCGCTGCGCCCCGGTGCTGGTGGTTGATGTGATGTCCAACCTGTGCCTGTGCTCCGGTAGGCGACGTGGCGCTGCTGGCAGGGGAGCGCCAGGGGTGCCATGCCATGCCAATGCACGACCCACACCCTGTGTTACCCTGTGTTACAGTCACCCCGCTATGATAGGCCGCGTGAGCAGACCTTGGGCAGGGGGCACACGTGATCAAGGGGCATCAAGAGAGGGGGTGGACCATGGAGCACCCTCTCCATGGCTCCGACCACCCTCCCCCCAGCTGAGCGTCCCAGGGTCACCCCACCCTGGCCCCGCTCCCCGTCCTGCCGGACACGCAACCCCCACAACGTGGTGGGGGACGTGGGGATCCTTAGCAGCTTAGGCCTGCCAGGCCGACGGGTGCCGATGCTGGTGCGGGCTCCCGGCGGCAGGCAGCGCCGCCGCCGGGCACTCAAATGGCATGGGGCACATGGGCCCCCATGCCCGCACATCTCCCAGGCACATGAAAATACCAGAAGGCTGCACATGTAAGGGTGCAAAGTGGCCTGCCGCGGCGGTCGGCTGTGCCATTACTCAGTCAGCCGCCGCTACCGTGCCGGGCTTGGCGTTCCCATGCCAACATGCCGGCGTGCCATCGCGCAAGGGGCCAGTGAGTGTGTG